ATCAATGAACATTTACATATGCGTTACATACATGTCAAATTTAGAATGGTTCATGTATAATGCACTATATTGTATATACACAAACAACTGTACCTAATAGTCATTGATTTTTGACAAACCAATTCATTCAAGATGTAAGTAGAACATGTAATAATTTTACCATGTCATCTTACACAGTGTACATTGTACATGACATCTTAATATTTATGTATATTTGATTTATTAAATGTGTTTTATTCGAAATAAACGAGATTAATAAAAAAAAAATATATTTATAATATTTACAATGAAGTACACTAAATAATTGTAACTTTTTTTCAACTACTCTCTTGTTTTCTCCTTTCCCTGTTTCTAATGTACACTTGTTATTAAAAGTGATATGTGAATCGATGATGAGTCATACATCTGGAATGTAGATGTGCATTTTTCAATGATGCCATTTCACATTTGCTAGAACAAACAATATAACCTAACACAATGTGACTCACAAATGACTAGATGTGTCAAAACTTATGGTGTGATTCGCTATTATAATAAACATTGAAAAAAACAAATACCACAAATTACTAGCATGTTAATATACTGCTTATCAATGCATTTTTTATAACGAAGAGCATGCAGCTACTTGCACGCTATCTTTGTTGAGAAAGAGGAAAATATCGCATTCGGACTTTTCAATAAACCGCATACATACATCTTCTGCTGTCATTTTTGATAATGACGTATCATTTGCAATTTCAGAAACAATATTCGTTCTTTTGTTTATATTTTACGTAGAAATCTAGCAAATATGCAAAGTGCACTGACCCAAGACGCGAACCGTGGTAGTCATTGACCGTATCTACACACGATGATACGATTCATTGTTTACATCCAATTTTAAATCTCGAACTGTCAAGGTGAAGCGCGCCCTTAACACTCCGTCTCAGTGCACCACAGACTGTCATCGATCGAGTGAATATTAAAGTATTCTACATTCTAAATTGCCATTAAGTCAAGTGCTTTGAATCAATCAAACGCAGTGTTGTTGTTAAAAATATAATTTGTCAGAGTTTTATTGTACGAAAATGCCGAAGGTGGGTCAGACTACATCGGAAATGAACAGATGCGAACAAAAACTTTTGTTCTCAAACAAAGAAGCGTCTGCCAGTGAACACAGCATTTCAAGTATAGTCTCAAGTATTTCTATTTCTCAAGATGAAAACTTTCGTGTATCAAAACATGCGGAAAATAGTCTCAGAGTTATGGAAAAATATTTGCATAAACAACAATTTACAGATGTCACATTAATTGCAGGTAAGTAATAATTGTAAGCGAATTTCTTTGTTCTCATGCAAAATTTATAATGTAAATATAAATTACTCTAATTAAAATTTATTTGAGGCAAAAGTTACAATTACAAAAATAATATGTAAAGTATATTTACTTATTTGTCATTTATTTAGGGAACAAACGTTTCCCAGCACATCGTTTAGTTCTTAGTGCAGGTTCAGAATATTTCGCTGCCATGTTTACTAGTTCTCTCAGAGAATCGGGTCAAAACGAAGTTGAATTGATGGAAGTAGATGGGGATGCATTATGGGCTTTGATCTGTTATTGTTACACAGGTAAGTCTCTATACAAAAACAGACTTATGAACAATTAATCTACACATATTAAAACATTGATGTACAACTTTTGAATGTAGGTTGTATAGAAATAAGAGAAGATAGTGTAGAAACTCTTTTAGCAACGGCACGTCTGCTACAGCTCAATCCAGTCGTTAAAGCCTGTTGTCAATTTCTTAGGAACCAACTCCATCCAAGTAATTGTTTAGGAATAAGAGTATTTGCAGATACACAAGGTTGTCCAGATTTACTAGATTATGCACATGCATATACAACTAAGCACTTTATGGATGTTACAAAAAATCAAGAGTTTTTATTATTATCTGCTAATGAAGTTGCCAAATTGTTAGAATCAGAAGATCTGAATGTCCCTTCTGAAGAAACAATTTTTCATGTAAGAATTTACATAATTTTAATGTAAAGAAATATAATTAAAAATTTTAATAATTTTATCCTCAGTTTCAATGACTGTATTTGATTAAACTCAAGACTTCAAGTGATAGAAGAACTATTATTGTTACTATTAACTTCAGGCACTTATGACTTGGTTGGAATATGATCCGGAAAATAGACAGAAAGAAGCAAGCAGACTATTAAGTCTTGTAAAGCTACCTCTCTTGTCCCCTGCAGTGAGTTAAATATTGTTACACATTTACAAAAATTATGTAGACTGTAGACTTGAATAGACTTTATTGAATTCACGCAGTTCATAGCAGACAACATTGAGAGCAATGAAATGTTCAAAGATCAAAAAGTAGCACAAGAATTAGTCATGGAAGCATTGAAATACCATCTTCTGCCTGAACGTAGACCATTACTTCAATCGGGACGTACAAAGCCTAGGAAAGCAACTGTGGGTCACATGCTGGCTGTTGGAGGAATGGATGCTAATAAGGGTAATTTATTTAAGTGTGTAAAAAAATTGGTAGTTTTAACTGATTGCTGTTCTTGTCAGGTGCTACTTCTATAGATGCATTTTCTTTGCGCGACAATGCTTGGAAACCAATAGCTACTATGAGTGGTAGAAGACTTCAATTTGGTGCTGCTATTGTGGACAAGAAATTAATTGTTGCGGGCGGGAGGGATGGATTAAAAACATTGAATACTGTGGAATGCTTTGACTTTTCCACTTTCACATGGAATACATTATCTTCTATGAATGTACATCGTCATGGATTAGGTGTAGCCGTATTAGGTGGTCCTTTGTATGCTGTTGGTGGTCATGATGGTTGGAGTTTTCTTGATACAGTAGAAAGATGGGATCCATCCAGACGACAGTGGAATTCAGTTGCTTCTATGTCAATACAAAGATCAACAGTTGGTGTGGCTGTATTAAACGATAAGTAAGATTTTAAGTATATGAATACATACAAAATTATGTACGTAATTACTGTTCAGTATTCTTTTATACAAGTTTCCAGATAATAAAAAATGATTAGACATTTTTGCCATGAATTGTAACCACAGGATATGATAGTTAACTTATCATTAACTATGTACATCCATATATTTTTTAGATTATATGCTGTGGGTGGAAGAGATATAAGTTCGTGTTTAAGCACTGTAGAATGTTATGATCCACATACAAATAAATGGATTCCTTGTGCACCAATGTCAAAACGGAGAGGTGGAGTAGGAGTGGGAGTAGTAAATGGATGTTTATATGCATTAGGTGGCCATGATGCACCTCCCACTAATCCTAATGCCAGCAGATTTAATTGCGTTGAAAGGTTTACTTGTTTGTTATAAAAATAGATAGCCAATTAAACAATTGCATCATAAATATTAATATATTTATAAATATTTTATGATATTGAACAATCATTAGGTACGACCCTAAATCGAATACATGGACAATGGTAGCTCCAATGAGTATCCCAAGGGACGCAATTGGTGTTTGTGTACTTGGCGATAGGCTTATGGCAGTGGGAGGCTATGATGGCCAACAATATCTTACCCTTGTTGAAGCATATGACCCACATCGTAATGAATGGGAGCCTGTAAGTTCACATAAAATAACAGTTAGCTATAGAACATTCGAAAAAATATTAAAACGTGTATTATACAGAAATCTCTATTTTAAGGTTGCTCCTTTAAAAGCTGGTCGAGCAGGTCCACCATGTGTTGTTGTAAAGAATTTACCTGGTTTTGAATTTATTTTTTACATCGAAAATTGAGTTCTATCAATTTGTGATTTGAAGACAGCAATATTTCATATTTAAATGTATGTTACTTCACATATCTAATGTGTGTATTAAGTTCGTGTGTACTGCCGTAAATTTGTATATATTTATATTTACACTTTTTGTATGACAACATTGAGCAAGGTATTATGCATCTGAGAATGAGGCAACTGTAGAGTAATATGCTAGTCTTAAGAACTTTTTAATAAAAGCTTTTTATTATATTTTTTACTCGCACTTTTGTACAGATGAAGATACATCTCTATAAACTCATGATAAACAGGTATGTGTGTGATGATGGAACAATCAGTGTATGTAAGAACGAATTTATTTCTCTCAATGAGATACTGTTTTTATTTATACATGTATCCATATATATTTTGTGAACATACCTTTTTTTAAATAAATAAAATGATCATTTTAACTAACTCACTAAGTTTTTAATTATCGTATTAACAAATTTTACCCATTGTACTTTTTCATTTGCTCTAACAAGCAGGAAAAGTTCTAAAACATATAATAAAAAAAATAAAAATTTTTCCATTATGATATATTCTGTTTTTATTTTAAATAAATATATTTACCGTGGAAAATCGGATGCTGGTTCTGTAAATTTATGTCTAACCATGAATGTAGCAATTGCCTCTGCTACTTTATCTGGTACATCTTCGTGCACAGCATGCCCACATGCCGGTAGTACTTGCATTTGAAATTTGCCTAAGTTAGGAAATTGTAATTTTAATATAAATTTCCATTTAATTTATAAATGACAGAATTTACATTTACTGTACCTTGCATCTGACCAACAGTAAGTTCTCGATCTAATCTGTCGACACCAGCCAGAAGTAATACTTTTGGAACTGGTACATTTAAGAATGCAGTTGACAATCCCTTAAACCAACCGAACCAATGCTGTTCAGTTTTTGACAAATCTATTCTCCAAACATATTTTTTAGTGGGAAGGGCAGTATTGATCTGAGAAGGTGGTGGCATATTTACGGGTTCCTCTTCTTGGATAATGTCGTCTCGTGGCATTGTTGTTTCTATATTACACTCGCATGATGATTGTGACAGTAAACCAATATCGTGAGTAGCTAATTTATTAGTTTCGATGCTGGAACATTTCAAAATATGATGCATTAAAATTCTAGGTAAGTAACTTGTGTAGCATCGATATAATTTATATATGTAAACTCACTTTTTAATTTGTCCAGGTACTGATACCTTAGCTGATTGTACATTACGGATTTGGCCACTTCGTACACTAAAATGTGGATAATTAGAGATATTCTTCTGTAATCTTGGATTTGATTATACAACACAAATATGTAACATATTAAAGAGGTAAATAACATTTTAGTTTGCAGAGAATCAGCCAAAATTGCCTTCCTTCTGAAAAATGTGCTCAGAGTAGCAAATTTTGTTAACTATGAAAAATAAGATCATAAAGAAGGATGCAATATTTTATCTTTTCCTTTTCCAGAAAAATATTAAGTACTAACCACCATTCCACAGCTTGAGGTATAGAACTAAAATTAGATGGCCGAGATCTTAAAAAGCTTTGCATAGATGCTAATGCATCCATAGCTGTTCCTTCAACAACATCAATAACTCCCAAACCACATAAATTTGGAATTAATGGAGCAGCTCTGACAGCTACTGCTCCACCCATACTATGACCCACAAGTATAATAGAACTATCTTCTGTTGTTGATGCTTTTATAACTTCAGCAATATCTCTAATCATTGAATAAAAATATCAGAATTATTTTATAGTCTCAATATATATTTATACATATTATAATGATTAAATAGTGAATTGTTTTACTTTGCTAAAGTTTCTCCAGATAAATCCTCCTCGTTATCTGTGCATGTGTCTCCATGTCCTCTAAGATCTATTGCCATAACTTTACAGACTATCATAGTCATAATCGATTTCTAAAATGTTCAAAATATATAAGCTCTTCTAGGCTCACAACATGAAATAGTTGTCACTTACAGTGAATTCTGCCCATGTGAGTGCACTGTAACCACCTCCATGTAACAATACTAATGTCGGTCCTTCTGTCCCTTTGGTATAAACATGAAATGTGCCCCTTTCTATCGTCACATCTTCGGAATGATCAAAATAAGGAATCCACTGAACAGGCTCATAATCCCTCTTACGATGAAATCCTTTTGACTTGCTAACCCTATAAATTAGGAATGTAATAATAGTGAATGTCTACTCAGCACTAATATTTTATATTAAATGTACATTAAAACAGTGTTAGCATCGTGTGACACAAAAAATAAGCTTGAATTCATTACGATTTCAGTTAACACCATAAATCTACATGATTCATAATAAACTAACCTAGAGCCGATTCCAAAATTGACACCCGTCGGTGGTAGTTTTGATTTCAAAATCGACTTTTGGAGGGAAGACATGTTAGTATTTAATAGACACCACTGCTTTTATATTAATACTATTTGCAATCACTATTGTTTTCACTGATCTCATAAACACATTACAAACTGATATACATATGTTTGTACCTATAGTTCGTGCTGCTGGTACACAAAATTACAAAATTACCAACGTTAGACCGTATACAGTTATCTCCCATTTTAAGAATCTTTTTATCTCCCTCTAAGAGAGCTTTTTTATCCCCACCATTCCAATGCGCATCCAGCACCGCGCAATTGCTTTAGAAAGAGTACGAGATATGAATGAGAGAGAGAGAGAGAGAGAGAGAGAGAACGAAACCAGCGGGCTCTGTGCTCTGTCCGTCTCATTTTATTGTGCTTCCGGTCCATGAACCATAAGCATGAAGACAGAGACAGTAGTAGCTTGATAGACACTACCTTATGGACCGTATTGTGGCCTCACTCCAATTCACTATTGCCGCGCATCCGTCGCGTGGCGCTCCATCTGAAACATACGGCGCGATATTCGACTTGTACTTATCGTCTCGTAAAATACTCGTCTACATTATCCAGCATATTTACGAACGATGCTCAATGCATATTGAGATATGTTTCAAACGTATAGGTTTGTAAGATATGTTTTGAAATGAATCAATGTCGGAAATGAGTAATAAAAGCTTCATATCTTTTTTTGAAAGATGTTTATTTGATCGAAATACATATATAACTTACTTGTTTTAATACATTTTTCCCAGTGAACTTTTAATGTATAAATGGTATTTTTAAAGAATCATGGTCTTTTATACGAATAAACTCGGTTATGAAGATTTTAATACTATCTCCGTTTGCGAAGTGTTCATTTCGTGAAAAGAATTCTATAGGTGTTTAAAAAAATGAAAATCTATTGGCGATGAATTGGGTGAATAGGATGAATGTTGTAAAATTTCATACTTTAATTCGTTTAATTTTGAAACTGTTTTCTGCGATGTAATACAGAATTTTGAAAGAATTCTTTTGCAAAATATGACGCTAGAAATAGACAAGGCTGCGAAAGAGGTTATGTTATTAACAATAACATAACGTAAGCGGGAAGACAAACATTTGCAAATAATAAGAATCCGATATATTATATGCAGCAACCTAATACATAATAATAAGAAGAAATGTCTCGTGTTTCCCCTTCGGATTCCAACCTTCAACTACAGATCACTTAATTTCTTCGTTCAAATAAAGTTTATGTTATACATGGATGCTATTCCTGCATACCTCCAGGCTGCAGCTTGATCCGTTAGCGAGGGTCGATATAGACATTTCTTTTTGTTCTGATTGGCTGATGATTCACTGCTGAAACAAGATCCACTGCATGTAGGAGTAGGTCCCATTACTGTGATTCGTCTTGAAATAAAGTTTATTTTACAATTGATAATATCTTGAGTTGAATGCTTTGACATTCTTGGGCGTGATATTATAAATTCCCCATGCGAATACGCAACAAACATTTAATGACAGCAGTGAGATCGTAAAAAATTTGCCGTCACAACATATTCAACAAAGGAAACGGTTAGCGTGTTTTTCTAGGATCAAAGGATGTTTACTGGAACAGGGTGCGTCTATAAAAAGTCCTCAAACATGATATCGAGATATTAATTTCATGTTCAAATTTTCAGCTTTTGATACTGCATACACTGTATATTTTTGTAACTCTCACATTTTTCCCGCAAGGTAACTTCGATACTGCTTTCATATTTTCGCCGTTAGGTGGCTTGAGCTATATAATGTTGTGGGGACGTGGTTCCTCCACTCCGTCCGCCTGCGCATGGCGCAGGCGCGGCGGCTTTCTGACCGCCATCACGAGGAGCACATTTTCCTCCTCGTGGCTCTCGTCCTCTGAACCTCGAAGTGTGCACACGTATAGTAGGGAACCTGGCGTGTTTAACTTCACCACGAACCCTACATTGGTGACCCCAACGTTCGATTAAGAACGCGTTTTTCCGTGTGCATCAACGTGGACGAAATAGAAGACTACTGCCGCCGGCTAATTGTGCAACATGAAAGGACTGCGTGAAGCCATCGTCACTGGCGCCTTCTCACTGATTTCCAGCCGGAAAACCACCTGTGGCTTCGACCACGTGGAAGACGACGCTGGCTCCAGAGGTTCCCGGGACAAATCCGCGACGGCCTGCTCCGTGCTGAGGTAAAGCGCGAAGCCACCGCCATCGGCGCCTTCTCGACGCCNACCGGCGCCTTCTCGACACGGTCCGCCCGTAATCATACCGTCCGGGGACCGCAGAATTTCCTGGGGCCCGGAAGACCGGGTGGTACGCAGTTGCGGACGGAATCTCCGCCACCGGTGCATATTCGGCGAGGTATCGCCAGTAATCGTACCGTCTGAAGATCTCGGAATTCACCGAGACCCCGGAAACGCGCGTGTCGAATATAGTGCCGTGATCTTGCCTTAACTCAGCACTTTTGCGTGCGCGTCGGCCATCTTGGTGTGCGCGTGCGAGATGGACAGCATGGCAACCGACGCGGGCACGGACGCCGCGGCATCGGACAAAATTGAGAGCTACCGCTCTCCCAAAATGCCCACGTTCTATCGTGAGGACCCGGCCATGTGGTTCGCGGTCGTCGAGTCCACATTCCGTGCGTCACATATTACCGCGGAATCTACCATGGCGGACCATGTCGTGAGGGCGCTCGACTACGAAATCGCGGCCACTGTGAGAGACTTATTTATGAAGCTGCCGCGTCCACCTAATGTATATAAACTCATTAAGGAACGTATAATTGCGACGTATGGCGAGTCCCCTGAGGCTAATCTACGCCGCTTGTTGAAGGGTCAAGTGCTTACGGACGGTAGACCCTCACTTACCCTTGCGAGGTTAAAGAACTTGAATAACGGTGCGTGCAACGACAGCGTATTAACGAGCCTATTTATGGAACTCATCCAACCGGTTCACCGTGCGATCCTAGCTTCCACGGGGATCTCCGACCCCGATAAGCTCGCGGCGGTTGCCGATCGCTTGTGCGAGTGCGCCGGCCTTGAGGGCCCTTCTATATCAGCAGCCCGTGTGCCAGCGCTTGGGGGACCTCCCGTTGCAGCAGTCCTTGCACAAGCGCCTGGGGGCCACTCCACCGCCGCGGAAACCGCGCCGAGGCTAACGGCGATTGAGGAAAAGCTGGACCGCCTGATCATCCAGATAGGTAAATTGACTGCCAGGATCGGGGCTTCGGAAAGACGTCGGTCGAGGTCGTCGGGATCACGCGGCCGTTCCCCACATAAGAGTCCGGCGCGTAACTTGTGCCATGCGCATGCAAAATTTCCCCAGTCATCCCACTCCTGCAAGCCGCGGTGCGCTAAGTATAATGAGTTCACCGCGGGAAACTAAATAAACCTTCCATTGCTGGGACGGGCTTGGAAGGCAGGCGCAAAACGTCCAGATTACATGTACGCGACAGCGTTACGGGTCAGCAATTTCTCATTGATACGGGCGCCGATCTGTCCCTGGTCCCTGCTAATTCGCGAATCCAGGGCAGGCCAACCGGTTTCCGTTTATATGCGGCCAACGATACGGCTATAGACACCTTTGGTGAATCGTTTCGGACCCTCGATTTAGGATTGCGCCGCGTTATAACTTGGAACTTTTGCATCGCGGCAGTGCCCCACGCGATTATTGGAGCGGATCTCCTCAAACACTATGGTTTGTTGGTAGATCTTCGTGGAGGTCGACTGGTCGACTCGATGACCGGCCTCTACACCGTTGCGATGGCGAAATCGGTAGTACACAGCACGGTAAGCTCCGTAGTTCCGAACGCGCGCGTAACGCACATACTCGCGGAATTCCCGGAGGTGTTTGGCACCGCCAAGATGCCACCCTCCAAGTCACTGGATGTGTTACACCACATCTTGACAACCGGTCCCCCAGTATCAGAGAGGGCTCGTCGACTCAACCCGGACAAACTCCGCGCGGCGAAGAAGGAGTTTGAAGCGCTAGTTGCGGCCGGCATTTGCCGCCCATCTTCAAGCCCATGGGCTAGTCCCATCCATATGGCCTTGAAGAGGGACGGCACCTGGCGCGTGTGCGGGGATTACAGGGGGCTGAATAAGCAGACGATTCCGGACAAATATCCGACTCCCCATCTACACGATTTCTCGACTAATCTAAGCGGGAAGACGTACTTTTCGTCACTCGACCTCTATAAGGCGTACAACCAGATTCCCATGGCTCCGGAAGACGTGGAAAAGACGGCGGTAATAACACCCTTTGGGCATTTCGAGTTCCGCTTCATGACGTTCGGTCTGAAGAATGCTAGCCAGACTTTCCAACGCTTCCTTAATAGGATCCTGGGCAACCTGGATTTTGTATTCGTGTATATTGATGACATTTTAATTGCGNTAAGCAGACGATTCCGGACAAATATCCGACTCCCCATCTACACGATTTCTCGACTAATCTAAGCGGGAAGACGTACTTTTCGTCACTCGACCTCTATAAGGCGTACAACCAGATTCCCATGGCTCCGGAAGACGTGGAAAAGACGGCGGTAATAACACCCTTTGGGCATTTCGAGTTCCGCTTCATGACGTTCGGTCTGAAGAATGCTAGCCAGACTTTCCAACGCTTCCTTAATAGGATCCTGGGCAACCTGGATTTTGTATTCGTGTATATTGATGACATTTTAATTGCGTCGGAGTCGGAACAGGAACACATGCGGCATATAAAAATTGTTTTGAGACGCCTGCAGGAACACCATTTAAGGGTGATGATCGTGAGCATCGATAATGTGCCACGCGACTAAGGATTGGACACGTGTTCTACCATCGGTTCTGTTAGGACTGCGTTCGCACGTCCGAGCCGATGTTGGAGCCTCTCCGGCCGAATTCTTGTTCGGGACCACTCTACGGCTTCCCGGGGAATTCTTCCTCTCGGGCGATTCCACGCCCGATCCGAATGTCTTCCTCGAGGAATTTAAGACGTACATGCGACGAGTGCGCCCCATTCCCGTCCTTCACAAATATCTTATACGGTCATTTGTATTCAAAGAACTAAGTTCGTGCTCGCACGTGTTCCTGCGGCACATGGCCAAAAGGGCGTTGGAACCGCCCTATTCGGGACCACATAAAGTGGTCAAACGCAACTCCGAGAGAGTTTACCAGATCGACGTGAATGGGACGGTGCGCACCGTTTCCACCGAGCTTCTTAAACCGGCATT